TGTTTTAAGCGAGTTTTGCCCCATTTTACGACCTTTCTTGCAGAGTCATTCTGGGGTCTCTTCAACCTACAGGCAGTCGGTGTTCTCTCCCAACCTACTCACAAGGAGAAACCCCTCTTCCAACAAGCAGGCTGGAACCGCAGGAAAACAAAACCCCTTTTATTATTTTACAGACCTGAGTAAAATGTCCAAAGGCAAAGGCAAACAAAACACAATTCACTGAAACTCGATCCTCAACACGAATAGATTGCCTTCGGCAACCAGCACCTCCCACACCTTCCCTTTTATTATGCAGCCCAAGGCGTGGCTTCCTAATGCCTTCTCCTTTGCCTTTGGAGCTGCCCCATTGCATTCCTCTGTCCCACTCTCATTGCCTGTCGGCGTTTGTGAGCATCTATGACAAGGGTGGGTTTGTGCGTGCGCTCCCGCTCGCCCACCAGCGGAGATCCGAGGAGGGTTGAATTGGGGTGAATTCTCCCCCTCCCCCTTTCGCCGCAGCCCTGTCCGTTAATGAAGTTTAGCGCTGGGAGAGGCATTCTGCATGGTCTCCTTTCCTTCCCGTTGGATTGGGGAGGGGAAAATGCTTTGGGAAATGGCTGGCAAGAGTGTGGGGCTCTCGGGAATGTGAGCCGGGAGGTGGAGGCAAAGAGTGGCGGAAAGAGAGTTGCCTCTCTCTCTCTCTCTCTCTCCCTCCCTCCCAATCTACCTCGCAGGGCTGTTGTTATGCAGAAAAAGAGAAGCAGGGAGAACAAGGATGTACATCTGACCTATGTAAAGCTTTTCATTGAAGTTCACAGAATACACTGAACGAGGAACTAATAATAATAATAAAGTTGGAAGGGACCTTGGAGGTCATCTAGTCCAACTCCCTGCTCAGGCAGGAAACCCTATACCAGTGATGGCGAACCTTTTAGAGACCGAGTGCCCAAACTGCAACCCAAAACCCACTTATGTATCGCTGGGTGCCAGGTGGGTGTGGCCCACTCGGCGGGCACAGCTACGGTGGACTTTGCAGACTGGGTGGGCGTGGCCACTGGATGGGTGCGGCTGCAGTAGTCATGGCAGATTGGGTGGGCGTGGCCACTGGATGGGTGCGGCTGCAGTAGTCATGGCAGATTGGGTGGGCATGGCCAGGGTGGGTGTGGCCACCTCGATGTTGCTTATGGGGAGGGACACCTGTGGGAGCCAGGCAGGGTTGGGGGAGATCCAGGGGGTGTCTGGCGGGTGGGATGGTGGGCTCCCTAATGGCGGCTCCAGGCTGGCTGACAGGCCAGTGATGGCGAACTTTTAGAGACCACGTGTGCTGGGGCGATGGTGCGTGCCCACAGAGAGGGCTCCGCGTGCCGCCTCTGGCACACGTGCCATAGGTTCGCCACCACTGATCTGTGATGTCTTCCAGCTGTGAGTCCTCACAGTCTGACTCAGCCTCCCAGCACAGCTGTGTCTCAGCCTGAGCGCGAGTAGAGGGGCCAGGCTCCTCGTCAGATTGTAAGTCTTGGAGCTCCTCCTCCTCCTCCTCTGATTTCCCAGACTCAGCTGCCGGGTCCACTGGCTGACGAGGAATCACAACAGTCTGGTAGTCCTCCACGTACGACCACAATAGCATCCCCGAATTTCCCTCGCTGAGCGAGACAATCGTTAAGGGAGTTTTGACCCATTTTACGACCTTCCTTGCCACGGTTGTCAAAGTGAATCCCTGCAGGGGTTAAAGTCGGTATCACGGTTGTTTAAGTTGAATCCGGCTTCTCCCATTGACTTTGCTTGTCAGAAGGTGGCCAAAGGGGATCGCCTGACCCCGGGGACGCTGCAACCGTCATAGGTACATGCCAGTTGCCGAGCGTCTGAACTTTGATCACGTGACTATAGGGGGACGCTGCAGCGGTCGTGTGAAAAACGGCCGTAAGTCCCTTTTTTTCCAGTGCCGTTGTAACTTCAAACGGTCACTTAAGTGAACTGTCGTAAGTCGAGGACTACCTATACTACTAGGTTTATTATAAGATTAAATTAACAGAATCTTGCAGGTCTCAAAATACATCCACACACACACACCCAACTTTACATTCCAAGAAACTAGGGAGGGTCCCTCCTGAGATGTTTGCACGTCCCTTTTACTTCTGTGGGCTCGGCTGCCTCTTAATAATAATAATAATAAAGTTGGAAGGGACCTTGGAGATCATCTAGTCCAACCCACTGCTCAGGCAGGAAACCCTACACCATTTTAGACAAATGGCTGTCCAGTCTCTTCTTAAAAACTTCCAGTGTTGGAGCATTCACCACTTCTGGAGGCAGGTTGTTCCATTGGTTAATTGTTCTAATTGTCAGGAAGTTTCTCCTTAGTTCTAGGTTGCTTCTCTCCTTGATTAGTTTCCACCCGTTGCTTCTGGTCCTGCCTTCAGGGGCTTTGGAGAATAGCTTGACTCCCTCTTCTTTGGGGCAGCCCCTGAGATATTGGAAGACTGCTATCATGTCCCCCCTCATCCTTCTCTTCATTAAACTAGACCAGTGATGGCGAACCTTTTAGAGACCGAGTGACCAAACTGCAACCCAAAACCCACTTATGCATCGTTGGGTGCCGGGTGGGTGTGGCCTATTGGGTGGGCGTGGCCCATTGGCTGGGCGTGGCTGTGGTGGTAATGGCAGACTGGGTGGGACTAAAAAGTTCAATCAATCAATTCCAACTTTGCAAGTTCTTTTTTGTTCCTGCGAGAAGTTGAAATTGACTGATTGATTGAACCTTTTTTTTTTTTGCACATGGCAGCGGAGGCCTAAAGTGAAAAGGTTTTATAAAGCCCAGCTGAAGGCCTAGGACTAGGGTGACGGTGTGCGTGCCCACAGAGAGGGCTCTGAGTGCCGCTTCTGGCACTCGTACCATAGATTCGCCACCACTGAACTAGACATACCCAATTCCAGCAACCATTCCTTATATGTTTTAGCCCAGTGGTGGCGAACCTATGGCACGGGTGCCAGAGGCGGCACTCAGAGCCCTCTCTGTGGGCATGCGTGCCATCGCCGCAGCCACGCCCACCCAATGGGCCACACCCACCCGGCACCCGACGATGCATAAGTGGGTTTTGGGTTGCAGTTTGGGCACTCGGTCTCTAAAAGGTTCGCCATCACTGTTTTAGCCTCTTATCTGACTGTTGCCTAGTCTGAGGGTCCTCCACCTGTCTTTCAAGGTCGTTCCCTCATTAAGGAGCTGCCAAAGGGTATAGTGAGATGCCCAAGGTAGGTCAAAGCACTGCACGGACCTAATTTATTTCTCGACATCCAGTGCAAATTTAGATTTTGCTCCGATTTCCCTTTCATGAAAGATTACGAGAATACACACTGCTTCCCCACCCCCCCATCAGATTTGGAAGTCGTTGATTATGCAACTCAGATTCCGGATGCAAAAATTCTCAAGGTTTCTTCCTTTTAGAAGGATTTTAGCAAGCAAGAAACTTTCCACCCTCCATGAAAAGGCATTGAGTTAATGCCAGGCGACGCTTGGTTATAAAACCTGGTTAAAAATAATCGTTGAGTGGATCACACAGTTTCTAAGCAAATTCAGCTGTCCCTATTGACTTTGCTTGTCAGAAGCCAACTGGGGAGATCACAAATAGTGATGTTAATGCTGCAATCATTGTGAATACATGCTGCTTGCGAAGCATTTGAATTTTGATCACATGACTGGGGATATTGTGATGATCGTGTGAGTCACAGTCATGAGTCACTTTTTTTCGATGCCTTTATAACTTTGAATGGTCATTTAATGAACAGCTATAAGTCGACGACTATCTGTAAGTTGTTTTTTAAGAGCCTTCTGCAAAGGAGCATGAAAGCTCTACAACAATGTCTTCTCAAACTTGTCAGTTTTAACACACATGGACTTCAACTGTTGAAGTTGACGTCACCTGTTGAGTTGACTTTGATTGGGTTGAGTTGAGATGAGATGTGTGGACTTCAGCTGTTGAAGACGACCTCAATTGTTGAGTTGAATTGGTTGAGTTGAGTTGATGTCATCTGTTGAATTGGTTGACTTGAGATGTGTAGACTTCAACGCTTAAAGACAACTTCAACTGTTGAGTCGAATTGGTTGAGTTGAGATGTGTGGACTTCAACTCCTGAAGACGACTTCAACTGTTGAGTTGAATTGGTTGAGATGAGATGTGTGGACTTCAACTCTTGAAGTTGACCTCAACTGTTGAGTCGAATTGGTTGAGTTGAGATGTGTGGACTTCAACTCTTGAAGACGACTTCAACTGTTGAGTTGAATTAGTTGAGTTGAGATGTGTGGACTTCAACTGTTGAAGTTGACCTCAACTGTTGAAGGTCTTAAAGCTGCCAAGAGAAATAATGTGTAAGTATTACTGAGATGTTACTCCAATAACATATCTCTTCTTCCTTCTCTCCTCTTCTTTCCACTGTGACTCACTCTGCCTTGCTTTGTTTCTGCTGGATTGTGTCCCTGGTGGCTTCAGCACCAAACCGACCACCGAAGAAGTCAAGGGCTGGTCCCAGTCATTTGACAAGTTGATGAAAAATCCAGCTGGCAGGAACGTGTTTCGGGAATTCTTACGGACTGAATACAGCGAAGAAAACATGCTCTTTTGGTTAGCGTGCGAGGAACTCAAAAGCGAATGCAAAAAACATGACATTGACGAGAAAGCACGGATGATCTATGAAGATTACATCTCCATCCTTTCTCCCAAGGAGGTATTTCATTTTGTATTTTATTCCAGCACTCTAAAATGTTTCGGGTACCAATTTCAGATACCGATTTTAATTCAGGAATGAAGGCGAATATACGTGTCCCACGATAATGTTGCAAGATCCAACCTGGATCGGTCACTGGGATCAGAGGTTTACTCTTTTGAGCTTTCAGACCCTAGCTGTACTGGGTCCAGTTCTAGTCACCATGATAACAAAAAAGATGCTGAGGTCCTAGAAAGAGTGCAGAGAAGAGCAGCAAGGGTAGGGTAGGATAGGATAGGATAGGATAGGATAGGATAGGATAGGATAGGATAGGATAGAAAAGACAGATTGTAGAATAGAATAGAATAGAATAGAATAGGAATAGAAAGATAATAGAATAGAATAGAATAGAAAGATTGTAGAATAGAATAGAATAGAATAGAATAGACAGATTGTAGAATAGAATAGAATAGAATAGAATAGAATAGAATAGAAAGATTGTAGAATAGAGTAGAGTAGAATAGAATAATAACTTCATTGTCACTTTGAATATACACTAATCAGCATACATTAAAAAGAAGTTCTGTTGCATTCAGCTCTCAAAGAGGGTCCCCACCTCCAATATACACTGTATAAATATGAGAAAAATACATAAATAAATAAATAAATAAGGAATCTGGAGGTTAAATTGTATGATGAACGAGTGAGGGAACTGGGTATGTCTAGCCCAGGTGTAGGCAACCTTGGCTCTTTTATGACTCATGGACTTCAACTTCCAGAATTCCTGAGCCAGCTATGCTGGCTCAGGAATTCTGGGAGTTGAAGTCCATGAGTCATAAAAGAGCCAAGGTTGCCTACCCCTGGTCTAGCCTAACAAAGAGAAGGATTAGGGATGACATGATAGCTGTCATACAATGTTTGAGTGTCTATCACAAAGAAGAGGGGATAGACTTATTGTCCAAAGCCTCTGAGGGCAGAACAAGAACTAACAGGTAGAAGATCATTAAACAGAGATCCAACCTAGAACCAAGGAGAAAATTCTTGACAAATGTCTCCCTCCTCCTATTTTCCCCACAACAACAACCCTGTGAGGTGGGTTGGGCTGAAAAAAGAAGGAATAGCCCAAAGTCACCCAGCCAGCTTTCATGTCTAAGGCAGGACTAGAACTCCCAATCGCCTGGGGATTGGTCCAAAGTCCCCCAGCCAGCCAGCTTTCATATCTAATTCAGGACTAGAACTCCCAGTCTCCTGGGGGTTGGTCCAAAGTCACCCAAGCCGACTTTCATGTCTAAGGCAGGACTAGAACTCCCAATCGCCTGGGGATTGGTCCAAAGTCAGCCAGCCAGCCAGCTTTTTTAATATCTAAGGCAGGACTAGAAGTCCCAATCTCCTGGTGATTGATCCAAAATCACCCAGCCGACTTTCATGCCTAAGGCGGGATTAGAATACTGGAACTAGAACTCACCGTCTCCTGGCTTCTTAACTTTAACCACTAGTCCCATCTCCCTTGATGGACAATCCACCAGAATAACCTTTCTCTTTGTGTCCTGCCCACCCTCCTTGCTCAGGTCAGCCTGGATTCCCGCGTTCGCGAAGGCATCAACCGCAAGATGCAGGAGCCCTCCTTGCACACCTTCGACGATGCGCAGCTACAGATTTACACGCTGATGCACAGAGACTCCTACCCCCGCTTCCTGAACTCTGCCATATACAAAGCTCTGCTCCAGAGTGTCTCTCGGTCATCTTCGGAGTCTTAAGCCCTTCCGTACCATTGATGGAGATGCCAAGTGAAGGGGTTTACTTTCCTAGAGCAAGTGTTTTGTCCCCCCCCCACACACACACTTTCTTCTTAAAAAAAAAAAATCTCCCAAATGAGCTTACAGAACAAATAGACTTGAAGATGTAACCCAGCTGAGTTCTGACCACAGACAATTGTCCAGTTGTTGGGAAGCTCAGTCCGCAACTTCCGTTTTTCCTCGTTCAGAAAAGGGCCCAACGCCAGTCAACCACCAAGAACTCCAAACTCAGGCTTCTACTTCCACGACCGAACCGGCTTTGGTGACCGGTGTCTGGCCGGTCACCCTAGAGATGGAGAACGCCGAAGGAAGCCACCAACCAGCAACCGATTGGGAGGTGGACCTCTGGGGCAACGGGGCAGAAGAAACCACAGGCCAAAAGCCCATTATTATCTCCGGAACGTTGATCTCTCTCGGATTGTTTTTTATTTTATTTTATTTTATTTTTAAATTCCTTCCATGTTCGTTAAGAATTCTTTCCATGGTGTTCTTGTAGACACAAAGATCTCAAAGACGGTTCGAGTGGAAACTGCGGTTAGGCTAATGTAATGGGATTAAGCAACGTTCAGATGTTATAAAAATACGTTCAGGTTTTCTGCATCCCGGATCCTTTTCAATTCACAGTTTATGCCAGGTAGGGTTCCCTCACCTCAGTTTGAGAAAGAAGCAGGGGAAGAGAAGATCGCCGGTACTTGGCTCTGAGCAGTGGTGGGATTCAAATGCCGGAACAACCGGTTCTCATATTTGATGCAGGCCTGGGCCTCCGATGCCTAGAACAGACTTCCGGAAGTGGCATCCATGGACTTCTGGTGGGCCGTTCTAGGCCTGGGAGGCGTCCTCCAGGCCTCCGATGCCTAGAACGGACTTCCAGAAGTGGCATCCATACACTTCTGGAGAGCCGATCTAGGCTGGAAGGACTCCTCCAGGCCTCCAAGGCCTAGAACGGACTTCCAGAAGTGGTATCCATGCACTTCCAGTGAACCGTTCTAGGCCTGAGAGGACTTCTCCAAGGCCGCCTCCAAGGCCTAGAACGGACTGCCGGAAGTGGTATCCATGCACTTCCAGTGGACTGTTCTAGCCCTGGGAGGCCTCCAAGGCCTCGACTGGACATTTGGAAGCCAGCCGGTTCTCCGAATTCAGGTAAATTTAGCTACTGGTTCACCTAAACCAGTGTGAACCGGCTGAATCCCACCACTGGCTCTGAGCTGGAAGCTCTGTGAGAAAGCCAACTTGAATACCAATCAGGTCTAAAGATCTGCCCGTTGTCGTAGGTCACGTCCATGTATCTCTGGTGTAGACGGGTACCTTGGTACTCATCGGTAAACCGACAGGTACCAAGAAATCCACGTGACTTACCACGTGACCCGCTATTTCGGAAATAGCGAGGCACGAGGCAGCCAACGTCAGCAAGTTCTTCGTTGCACGTTGACTGCCAGGAGAGAGACGAGTGCCGGCACAGGATTTCTTCTTCAAAACGCGTCAGATACCGAATTCAATGCGTTTTAACGCAGTCAAGTGCCGAGGTACGACTCTATGTGGACTACAGAGGCCTTAAGTGACCAAGAGGGTCCTTCCCACCTGCCATGCTGTGGCATTCAGATTGATTTCCAGTTTCTTCCTTTCTTAAAAGCTAAGGGGCTGTTTTGCAGATGGACAGGCTTTGCGGAGAAGAATTACCCATGTTTCCCTGAAAATAAGACCGAGTTTTTGTTTTTGTTTTTGTTTTTTGGCCTTCAAAAGGCACCAGATCTTACTTTGGGGGGATGTCTTACCTCTGGCACCGACAGCCCTGCCCAGCCGGTCCACTTCTTCTGTGGCCAAAGGAGCAGCTTCATTCTGGTCTGCAATTTCGCAGTCAGGCCTTTGCAGCCGAGAACCGAACTATGGATTGAATCCATAGCTCTGTCCTCGGCTGCAGTGGCCTTCCGGAAGGGCCTGTGACTGAGAAATGCAGGCCTGGCTGCAAAAGACGCCACAGAAGAAGTTGGCTGGCAAGGAGACGCCTGGCTGCCAAGTAAGTGGGTGTGGGGCGCGTGGGGCAGCTCCCCACCCTCCACCCCCGCCCTAGCTTAATTTTTGGGTATGTGCCTCGCCCCAAAACTAGGGCTTATTTTTGGGGTAGGTCTTACTTTCGGGGAAATACGGTAATGACCTGCCACTAGGCACGAGGAAGCAGTCTCCCATCTGGAGCAGCTGCTCTTTATTGTGCTTAAGACTTACGGCTCTCTGGAATGGTTTGTTATTATGGGCTGTCCTAGTGATGGTATCTAATCTTCGCCAGCAGCCCCTGTAGCCCTTTGACCCCAAATGCTTTGAAGAACATCTCCGAGGGATGTCTTCAAGAAAAGCCCCCACTGATGAACAGTGTCATGTGTCTGATTAACGAAACACTTAAAATGACTTTCAGGCATATTTTTCCTAAAAGCATTTATTATATTAGTCACAATGTCCGTAGCTGGTCCAATGAAAAAAATGTACAAAAGAGATGGCTTGCATCCATCAAAGAAAGGGACTAAGTTACTTGGCAATAAATTCACAGATTTTCTGGAGGAATATTTAAACTAAACAATTGGGACAAACACTGACGGGGCAAGCCACTGGCAAGCCGGGGCAAAAATTGCTGCCAATATTCTATTGATAATCCTAAAGATCCAGGAAAAGATGGCCTAAGAATGGGTTCCCGAGTAGCTGGGTCTGGGGGACAGGACCATTGCACTCCATTGTAGGTATTCCTGTTAAGAGGTCTCCCCTGTCTATATGGTCTCTCCCAATCATTTGTTCCAGCAGTAGGCAAAGCTCTTGTCCTGTGAAGCGATGGGACATCTCTGGATGGTGCAAACTCCACCCTATTCTGCCCTTGAGGTGGTCACCCAAACCATGTTAATTCTCAGCCACTGTCCACTGGGCCTAATGCTCTCTATGAATTCCTCCACTGTGAATGTTAAGATTTCCCCGATTCGTCTTCTATAAAATTGGCATCAGGGCAGTGGACAGGTTCCCCTCTTTTCATAATTACGAACGCTTCTGTGTTGTCTGGTTTTGGGCGCTGAAATGATAGGAGATGCTAAGAACGGGACCAATTTTAGGGTTTGTGTTCCTTTGCTCAAGAGAGGGATACCACTTAATACCACTTTACAACACCTTGGTAAGGCCACACTTGGAATATTGCATCCAGTTTGGGTCACCACGATGTAAAAAAGAGGTTGAGACTCTAGAAAGAGTACAGAGAAGAGCAACAAAGAGGATCAGGGGACTGGAGGCTAAAACATATAAGGAACGGCTGCTGGAATTGGGTATGTCTAGTTTAATGAAGAGAAGGACGAGGGGGGACATGATAGCAGTGTTCCAGTATCTCAGGGGCTGCCACAAAGAAGAGGGAGTCAAGCTATTCTCCAAAGCACCCTAAGGCAGGACAAGAAGTGACAGATGGAAACTAATCAAGGAGAGAAGCAACCTAGAACTAAGGAGAAACTTCCTGGCAGAATAATTAACCCGTGGAACATCCTGCCTCCAGAAGCGGTGAATGCTCCAACACTGGAAGTTTTTAAGACGAGACTGGACAGCAATTTGTCGGAAATGGTATAGGGTTTCCTGCCTGAGCAGGGGGTTGGACTAGATGACCTCCAAGGTCCCTTCCAACTTTATTATTATTAATTTTAAGTCGCATCATAGACCAGGGCTTTTCAATCAGTGGTACGGGTACCACCTGTGGTACATTGGCACCTGGCAGGTGGTACGCGAGCATCCTAGAAAAGTAGCGGGGGAGGGGAATGAGCTGAACCGGTGGCAGCACCGCACAAGCCTGAGCGAGAGACGGCTGGAGCTGCAGGGCTGTCAGGGCTCAGCGGAAGCGCCAGGATCAGCACTTCTTCAGGGTTGTCAGGGCTCAATGGAAGCACCAGGGCTCAGTGGAAGCGCCAGGATCAGCGCCCGGCGCTGATCCTGGCGCTTCTGCTGAGCCCAGAAGAAGTGCCGATCAGCTGGAATGTTGCAGCACCTCCAGGGTCTTGTGATTTACATTCAGATGCTTGGCAACTGATTCATATTTATGACGGTCACAGTGTCCCAGGGTCATGTGAAGTGACCAAAACCTGCTGCAACCACCCAACAGACAGGGGAATAAAAACCAAACACCCCCCACCCCACCCCCGCTGCCAATCCTCAACAGAAATGCTCACAACAATGAAAACCTCGGACAGGAGGAAGAGCGCCACCGGGTGGGCAGGCAGGTGTCTTGCTCGGCTGTGGCTTGGGGGGCACTTTTTTCAGTGCCATTGTAATTTTGAACAGTCACTAAGCAAACTGTTGTAAGTCAAGGACTACCTGTACTTTATCACTTTTTTCCTTTTTTGGGGGGGGTCATCAAGTTTTGGACACCTTGCTAGGCGACTGGTGGTACTCGGATGTTGCCATATCCTAAAAGTGGTACAATGGGTGAAAAGGTTGAAAAGCCCTGTCATAGACCAAAGCCCACCAGCCCACCTCCCACCCCGGTTTTCCAGAGTTTGCTCAAATTCACATTCATTGCGTTAATGACATTATCTAACCATCTTTTTCTCTGCTGTCCCCCCACCACCACCTTTTGTCTTCCATCTTCACCAACATCAGGGTCTTCTCTAAGGAGTCCTCTTCGCATTTGCTGGCCAAAGTATTTGAGCTTTAGCTTCTGGATCTGTCCTTCCAAAGGACAGTCCGGGTTGATTCCCTTTAGGATTGACTGATTGGATCTCTTTGCAGTCCAAGAGTCTTCTCCAGCCCCACAATTCGAAAGCATCCGTTTTTCGGCGCTCAGCCTTCCCTTATGGTCCAAACTCTCACAGCCATATATATTACGACTGGGAAAACCAAAGTTAAAAAATCTTTAAAAGTTTAGCTGAAGTTGAGAAATACTTCTCTAGAATATTGACTGCCGCAGTTCGACTGGCTTCCTTAATGCTGGACAGAGATAGCGGGGAATACAGCAGCTTATGGATCACGGATATTAATTTTTACAATTCTGTCCTAGGCCATAGACCAGTGATGGAGAACCTTTTAGAGATCGAGTACCCAAACTGCAACCCAAAACCCACTTATGCATGGTCGGGTGCCGGGTGGGTGTGGCCCATTGGCTGGGTGTGGTCAATTGGGTGGGTGTGGCCCATTGGGTGGGCACGGCTGCGGTGGTAACAGACTGGATGGGACTAAAAAGTTCAATCAATCAATTCCAACTTTGCAAGATCTTTTTTTTCCCACGAGTTGAAATTGACTGATTGAACCTTTTTTTTTTTTTTTTTTTTGCACACGCGGTGGAGGCCTAAAGCGAAAAGGTTTTATAAAACCCAGCTGAAGGCCTAGGACTGGGGCGACAGCGCGTGTGCCCACAGAGAGGGCTCTGAGTGCCACCTCTGGCACCCGTGCCATAGGTTTGCCACCACTGCCATAGACTGTATTGGGTCTCCAAACTTGGCGCCTTTGAAATGTGTGGACTTCA